TGACCTTAGGCTTGATTGCAAAACCTTTGATGCAGTCTCTCATTTTTTAAACTGCTTTTTCTGCAACAAATGTTCTAAGGACAAAGTTCTTAGACCATGGAACGATTTGGAGACAACACGATTCTTCTCAGGTACAGTTATCAAATTGATAATTCAGGAAAGGTTTGGAGAAAGTTGTATGGAGGCGATTTCATTGGGTGATAGGTTCAACATCTGTTACATAAACTGAATGATCATGATATAAACCCAGTATCCTTACCATGATCCATTGTTAAATAGTAACTCTCTTTCTCTGTAAAGGTCTGTGACGTCGTGAACTGAATAGTCCGTCCCAGACTCCCAACTGGATATAACACCCCGGCAGTAATGGCCACGTCAACACTGAAAACAACTGTGCCGTCAGATCGATGGATCCGGATATGGCTGCTTCGTATAGGACGCACGAACTGTAATAAACATTTTGACAGATTCAAGTTACATTTCAGCATCAAATACCACAGAACCTATGAATTTCAGCCGGTGTTCTATTCAAGGTTTCAATCATTATGGCACTCCCAACCTCCCTCAGATAATACTTCAAGACACCTGTTTGTCAAAAGCGATGGTCCATTGACTTGTGTCGGGAAGAACTTCTCCTTGCGGTGAGAGACTAGCAAATTGTGGAGGCGCAACTAGCAAAAGAAAAATATAGGCACGTAAGGCGTACATATAATGTGATATACTGAAATTAGAAATAAAAATTTCAACCCTCGTCCCAATTTGGAACCTCACAGGGGCCTTGTTCGAGTGGGTGTTTATCGTAGAACAATATCTTTATTGTCGGAAAAAACGGACCTCGGTTATTGGCCTGGTAAAGCAGACACATCGAGTCCTCTTCTTTGGAGTCAACGAAAAAAAAATGACCACGCGAAAACTGTGGAGCCGTTTTCGCCGTGAAAAAAGTAGAATGAATTCGAAGACAGACTGTCACGAAATGAAGGAAAAGACCCGGTTGTCTGCTCAAAGAGAAGCGACAAGTGATCGCAAAAATTCCAGTTGGCCAATCAGGCGGTTAATCGGGAAATTCCAGTGGGCCAATCAGATTAATCGAGAAATTCCGGTGGGCTAGTCACGTCAATCAGGAAATTCTAGTAGGCCAATCAGATAAATCGAGAAATTCCAGTTGGCCAGTCAAGTCAATCGTGGAATTCAAGTAGGTCAATCAAGTTAATCGAGAAATTTCAGTGGGTCAGTCAGGTTAATCGAGAAATTCCAGTGGGCCAATCAGGTTAATCAGGCTCATTGAATTAGGACCTAAAGG